TATAAGCGAAATAAAATCAATCGAATTAACGAATAAAAAACGTTAAGCTTTCAACGAGACGATAATGTCTACATTAGATCTCGCACTCGTTATTCTTTATTAAGATGCCCCCAACTGCTTTTCAAACCATAAAACATCGTTTTGGTATCGCGTTAAGAGAACAGATGAGAAATAATTTCATCGACTGTTCGAGTTTTGACTCGAGAGAGGGGAGAAAAACGCACCTCGTGCGTCCACCGAAAACCTTTTGGGTATTTCGGACACGTATATACTTCCCAATGGAAATTGGATTGTCGGACTCTACTCCCCCGCGCCCAGTCGGTATCACGCCAGCCCGATCAATTTTTTCCATCAGTTTTTTCGTTTTTCGTTATGAATAACAGCTCTTTTGACCGCGTACGGAATACCGCGGCAATATGATTTCAGAGTAGTTGTTTTTTTGAAGCTCCGCCGCGATCTCTATCGCAACGCGTATAAACGGCAAGCGATAGCTGCGAGGGCACGTTTTTTTTCTCTTCTTTTTTACGGACGTATAGGGGAGGAGGGCACACGTCCTTAAAAGTTTGCAGATTGCGGCGTTCCATCGATTCGGCCGCGGCAACCGAAACCCTGACCTTCGGCGGCCGTTGCTATACTACTCTCAATTTGTGCGTCCCTTCAGCATCCGACCGCCCAAACATTATCTCATGTTAAAACGATTAAAGGCTGACAAATACACAACTTTACAATAATATAATACCCAGGAAACTTTTCATCGTACAAATCGGATTAACATAATACCGCGTTGTCGGGGGCGGCGCGACACGAGCGCTCCTAGCGACCCATCGAATAAGTTCTCATTTAGAATTATGAATTCGCTGTACGCAATACGCGCAGTGCAATTGGTTGTAATAACAGTAGTTTCCACGAGATAATAGTTTCGGAAAACATGACTCGCGCCGAGGTGGCACACGTAGAGAAGTACAGAGACTGTGCGAAAGAGCAAAAGAAATCGATATTTTGGCCGTTGCACAGTGTAACTCGTACGCCAATTGACCTTTGATTAAATTAATTGCAAAGTTCATAGCATGTGTGAAGATAATTTGACGTGTAAAATAAACAACGGTCTGAAAAATTGATAAGCGCCTTCACTGCGGTGGTAATTAGTTGGCTTAAAATGAATTTCGTTTGAAAATGTCGACATGCCATTTTCTCGACGTACTCTTCGCAACACTACTAGAATGGTTTTTCCAATAAAATTACGGTAGTTAAGTATGTAACACGTTGTAAGCCTGCTGACACGACATATATTTTTAGTGCGAATTTTAACTGTTTTGTGCAGCAAGTTTAACGGTTTTGGAGAATATTGCGAGCCCTAAATCAATTCATCGCAATGGGCATCTAAGATTTTTTGTAATAATTTTACGATGACAAGGCGTTGTGAATGAGACAAAACACAAAATTTAATGATATCCGCAAAATAAAAACAGTTTGAACAATATTATTTACACCAGTGGCGTTGTATACTAAAACTAGGGCAATTTTATCAGCTCGTGTTGCAAATCTTTATCATATTCCATCGACTTCTTTTTTAATATATTTCTCGCGACTATTAAAACAAGAATATTAAATTGAACTTCTATGAATTTATAAATTCCGAGCAGGTAAACTGTTGTTTTTTTTTTTGCCAAATAAATGATTCACGCTGAAATAACTTTCAAAGAACATCCCGACGTAAAATTTTGTTTTAATTAAAAAACGACTAATTAAATTTTATAATTTCAATTAATATTCAACATAAATTAAAAAATTATAAAGAAATATTAAAAACACTATCGACATGATTAAAAAACTATATCGTCCATAAAATATACGGGAACAGAATATTCTAAATGTGGAAAGTTATAAATCTAAACTTTTATCGAGTAGCTAAATTTAAGTAACTTTATTGTTACTGCATAGTTTAGTTAAAAAAAGTACGTGGAAAATTAATTAAAATATCAATTTTAACGTGCTAATAGAGTTAGTAAAAAAAAAAATGTAAAGACTATATTAATTACCAAAAGAATCAACAAAAAAAGTAGTATACACCTTATAGGTTGTATTTTTTAAGGCTACAAAAATAATTTTGTCTGGAAAAAAAAATCCAAGCAATTATGACTGGCGTGAAGATAACGAAGTGAAAAATAATAATTGAACATTTTACAAAATAAATGGGAAACGATTTAAGAGGATTGTGTGAGCGATAGGTATGAGCCATAAATGGCGGCCGCCGTTAAGAAATAAATCTAAACCAATAAAAACGCATTTGGAAAAAAAAATAATCGTCCAAAAGACCGTTCGTCACTGACAACGTTTTGCTCGGATTCGGTTGATTAGAGTGAATAGCAAAGTGGTATATGGCTCTCCGAGGGAAAACTTTGTTTGAGCGAGCACAGATATTCTGTATTATTCCTTTTGCTGGTAAACATTAAAAAACCCGATCAAAAAGTAAGAAGTTTTATGACTGGAGGACACGCTCCCTTCCGATAGTGCCCAAACCCCCTAGGTCACTTCAACGGTCGGCGGGGGTGGTGCTGTCCTCCCTTAATTTTTCACGACGGTTCACACGAAACGATCAACAGTCACTCGCGTGCGCCCGGCACAATTTATTACCTCTACAGCGGTTCAAATAAAAGCACACGATTGGAAATCGGTAACGATATGGTTAAGATTACAATAAATGTTTACAAAACGACAAACTCAATTATCTCTGCCGAAACGTTAAACGGCTACGTTATTTTATGATGATTATGCACGTAGAAAACGGAAAATAATGCCGAGAAAAGCGGCGAGCAGAGGCAACACAAATACAATCAATATAATATTGCCGCCGTTCTCTCCGTACAACGAACGGCGGTTACTACTCGAGACGGTACGACAATACACGCGCAGTGTTTTTTCAACAAGAGATTCGATAATAAAAAAATAGTATCGTAAAGACACTATTATGGGTGAGAAACGAGTGAAAACCGAGAGACACGAAAATTAAATCGGCAGGGAGTCTGTCGTACAACTAATTCGGACCAACAGGGCTGACCTCGACGAATTACACAGTTGTATCACGTGTGTCGGCGACACCAGCGAGTAAAAAAACCAAAACTAAAAATTGTACGCGCAATAATAATCATGTGGAATTTGTTTGCGAGGACGCGTATAAATGACATACTTGAATTATTGACAACTAGACTTTTACAACGATCCGATCGTTTACGTTAATGTGACATAACAATAATGCGATAAATCGGTGGAGAAATTAACTTAAAACGAGTACAATAAGCTAATGCAATTCCACTGACCTTTGACATGATAAAATTGACTAGTATAATCGAACTCGTTAGATTTCCTCACTTTTCTTATGGAGAGGCATGTAAGGAAAATATTTTTCACGTTCAGCTTCAAACACGAAGTTAACGCGCACTTTTTCCGGCCCCCGTGGGCTGTCGGTCTGTTTACGACGTAAACCATCGTATGCATTTCATACTGTCATTAAAAAATGTGTCGACGAGGCACAGCGCGAGGAGAGAACGTACAAATATGGTTATTTTCGATATTTATTATTAATTGGTTGACAACGTTCGGCTAACGAGTAGTTTGTCGTGTCGTTATCAGCTGTGTGTAATATCACTATCATCGCCAGTGTACGGAGTCGTTCTATAGCTAATAAACTACTATGATGTGGTGCTAGACGAGAATGCTATAAATGGAACGGAACAACGCGGAATTTTAATTCACATAAATAAAACTCAATCTGAATTTAGATGCCATTGAAATATCGCAGCGGTTAAATTGTCTGTCCGTAGGCGTTTGGAATGTTCGAAAAGTCGTTCACAGAAGTGTTAGGACAATAAAAAATTTCAATACTTTTGGATTTCGAAAGAAATGATTTCATTGTAACGTTACTCAGGCCCGTTAACACGTCGCCTCGTGTTCAGTCGGCTCATTGGCAGAGTACGCAACGCATGCGACCAAGTGCACGAAAATAAGTAGCTTTTCCGGTAAATAACTAATATTGTATCGGTGATTAATACTTCCTGTTTAGGAGAAGAGAATTTGAAAACACTGGGGACGTCAACGGGGTACACATTAGAAACGCGTGGGAACGATCTATTTTAACAATTCCACGTTATTTTCGTAGATACATAAAAAAACGCTGTAGATAAATTTACATTTTAAGAGCTGTCCGTGATTCACAGAAAGAGAGCAAACATTACTATTCATAGTTTTTTTTTATGGTCCTTAACGCGGATAACGTTTATGAGATCGAGATGACGCGGCGGAATTTTTGTGGACACAATTTTAATATATTTTTTCATAAATATTTTGAATTTCGTTCTCCCCGAGATTAAATGGAACGACGAATGCTGCAAATATTTTGATATTAAAATTCACTGGAAGATATTTGCGAGGCTATCAGTTTAAAACCAACGATTATTTTCCATTTAGGCAATTTTAGTTGCGACAAAACTGTCATTGGAGTTTTGGGGGGTGGTTTTCTGTAAATTTTTAATGTACATAAGCCGAGACTGCAAGTAACGTAGCGCGCTCATGACTAACCACCACGTCAATAATAAAACGTAAATACATTGTATAGTATTTAGTTTGCGGAACGAGGAGGACACGCATTGTCAATATTACACTAATAGGGAAAAAAAAAATGGTTTATTACGATGTGTCGACACTGTCGCAGTTGAAAATGAATAATTTGGCGGACCGACTAGGGACGAGTAGGTTATGTTTTCTGGGTTGAATCAATACCATCGAGTTAACCACAGTCGTGTACGTTCGAACGGGCGCGAATAAAAACACCGCAATATACGAAATACGTTTTTTACAAACGCCGCCCGTGGCAGAGTCAAATGGTTTTCTCGGGCGGTACAGTCCACTTAGGGATCATACCCTGGCAATATGTCCTCCTCGATCCGAGTACATTGAGTGAGCTTTCATTTCGTTTGTTAACACTATATGTGCACAAGACTTACCGTTGCCCAGTGGCGATTTCAGTGATGGCGGTTGCTTGAGCACGTACTGCGGCACTAGTCCTTCGGTACAGTCCGACGGCACGCGCACCATGACCATTTCGTTGGCTCCGCCGTCGAGCACCTCCACCTGCGAGCCTTTGGTCACGGACACCTGACCGGCTGCCGTGGCGGAATAATCCGCTATGACCCATGTCATTTCCACGCCAGAGTTCTGTAAAAGCAATTTCAAATATTAACATGTTTACGACCCGTATAATGCATTTGTTTATGCGACGGTAAAAAAAGGTCGACTATAGCAACTCGTATAGCACTAAGATACATTACCTTTGGATACGACAAGCGAACAAAGGTCAAGCGAAAGGAACGCAACGTATGCACGGGCATGTGTAAAAATATGACTTATGAGAAAGCTAGTACGAAAAAAAATAAAAAAAAAAAAACCAAGTAGACAACGGAGAGGGAACAATAGTTTTGCAGTGGTCAAAANGAAAGGAACGCAACGTATGCACGGGCATGTGTAAAAATATGACTTATGAGAAAGCTAGTACGAAAAAAAATAAAAAAAAAAAACCAAGTAGACAACGGAGAGGGAACAATAGTTTTGCAGTGGTCAAAGGGTAAATACGTTGTATGTATTTATAAAGCGCCACCGCAAAAGTAATAAAACAGCACCGGCAAATACAATGTGCGTTATACGAAAATTACTGTTATACGCTCATAAAGTCAATTAAGATAAGTTCTCGGCTATTCACTAGCGTACGCACAACTGTTTCGTAGACACAAAAAAATACTAAAGCCGTGTCGTTCTATAGCGAGTTCAACTCCTTTTTGGGAACAATCTAGTAAACTTTTGGCAATATAACAAGATAAAGACGAGGACAAATTAAAATCAAGGTCGACAACGACGAAAAAACAGTTTATCAACCGCCTAATATCATTTATCTAACTGCAATAACTATAATGATAGTAAAATACACAAAATTGCTTCGAGGAGAACCATATAATATCAATTAGTAAGTAATCTATCGACCAAGTGTAATGAGTCTAATAAAATCAACAAGTTCACTGAAGCATTAGCATTTAGAAAGTATTACACAAACAAACGATAAGAATATCACATGGAAAAGTGTAACTTTTATAAAGATAAAAAATACCAATAACAGGTTGAATTTCTAAAGGACAAAGCCGCTTTAAATCGATTAAGCCAACAGCAGTTGAAATAATTCAAGCAATAAATTAAATCTATTACAATTAACCTAAACACATTAGTTACATTTGAAACTTGGCAACGAGTTGGCGGCTTACGTCTTTTATGAATATTGAAAATATGAACAAATGTTATGAAGAGGTTTTGACGCCAAAATTACTAAGTATATACACATTTAAATAAAAAATGTTATCAAATGTCAATGGCGATTGTCCAGTATACTGGGAGCGCGTCTAAATTGTCTTATCAAACACAAACATCAAAAATGGCATAACTTATACAAATGCGTATCCCGTTAAAAAACGAATCAATACCATTTCGGGCACAGAATAAGTATAGATTATGACGTTGAGAAGATAGTGTGTGTAATCAACGCCCTGCAAACGAGACAGGTCATTTCGTGTGTTTATTTTTTTAATGCAATAAATATTTCATTAGTCGGACTGAGGTGGTTGCCAAACGTCTTGCAAACACACGAGTAAAAGTTTTAATAATAATAATGTCGTTTGAACTTATATTTAAGTTAAAAGTAAAGAAAACCATTGAATTCGATCGTGTTTTTTTACATACACAATCTAAGTCGGCATTAAAAGGAAGGACCTTATTTTATAGTTTGACTCGTTGAAGCCAAAACACATTGCACATTTTAACAGTCTTTTATTAGTAGTCGTCACGCCGAAAACCCCTTTCAAGTTTCGTATAGTTTTTTTTATATAAATAAAAAGATTCCCCTTGATTTTCCACCATCTCGTCCGGATACACAGCCAAACGACCTGAGAAAACATTTTTATGCGTCTCGAGTATCAAACACGGGAAAGTATTTAACAATATGTGACAATCAAAATAAAACGGAATTTTCCATATTGTAACAAGTAAGATGGCAACGCGAGGAAATCTATTAAATTGTAACTGTTATTGAACTAAGTGAAACACAGATAAGCTTGTTCGATGTAAATACTTGAGCCCAATCATAAAAAACGGCTTACAAACAACAACAATCGTGATAATCCCGCTTAGCATTCCACACACAATTACTTAAAGCCAATAGGATTTTGATAAACAATAAAATGAATAAAAATGTTTGCCTTGGTGTAATCGTCCAATTATCGTCGAGTGTAGAAAAATATGTTGAAGGATGCAAAAATGAAAAAACCAAAGTATATCGCTAATATTCTCGTCGCTCAGATAAGATAACTTTTTTGTATAATCAACACTTTTAGTCGGTCGCTTAGGAATGCGTTAGCTCTTATTTGCGTTTCCTTTAGGAATGCAAAAAGAAAGTTATTGTACTTGAACAACAACTTTAGGTATTCGTGCCGAAACGATTGACACAACAATCGAGCACATTACAAATTCCATTTTGCATTTCGATCGGCCAACAAAATACCCTCCCCGGCACCGGTGTAAAAAATAAATACACGCGTACGTTTTCGATGAATAGATGAGAATATATGTGTCTATCCAAAGTAGATTCGCAAAGGGTATGATGAGTACTTTTTATGCTATAAACAGTTAAAAAGAACTAATCGGATACGCCGACGTCATGTAAACGACAAATGGTTAACTAGACTGATGGGAAATCGATAAATCCAATAAAAAACTGGCACTAGGATAGAACAATGAGCCGGCACGTTTCTAATAGAAAAAAACAATTGCTGGGAATCTATGGTGCGCGAATTCATAACACAGTCGGCGGTGGCGATGAATTTGTCAATAATTATCCACGTGTAATTAAATAATCTAAAACGTTTGTTTCAAAGAAACGACCGGTTGTCGAGCGGCGCCGCTGTTTTTTCGCGAACACAACACATACATACAGACTTATCGCATGCACTTAAGTCGACTGGCGGATTATACTCAACGTGAATCGAGGAAAGCGGCTTTAAGAGGGTTTTATAATAACATGAATAACATGTTACACGAATCTGTACACCGATGGCATAAAAGACACCCTTTTTGCCATTCATACTGCAACTCTGCTTGGCGATATTCTATTTAAGATGATTTACGGACAACGATTTCTTCAGCGAGATTTTATTATCTTGTGGACGAATCTCATTAAGTAATTTGCCGTCGTAATCAAATAATTTTCCTTGAGTAAATTGAGTGCCAGATTACTTACAGTTTTCTTTTTAACCGCGACCTATTTCCCCCCTAAAAGAGCTCTTGTTGTGATCAATCTCACTTCTATCTTACTCGAATTCAAAACTCAACAGTTTCCAATAGTTATATACATCATGTTTATTTTTTTAATCTCGTCATAGAAAATAACTGTGTCTCAAATTAAACTCGAGTAAGCCGTTATTCATTGTTGAGTTTCGATCAAACGACACGTGTAAACGCTTATAGAAAATATGTACCTGAGACGCGGCCGAAGCGCATGTTGTGACCGGGTGCTGGCGACGATACGAACCCGGCGTGTCGATGGTATGTTGCCTGGCCAGGGCGGCCGACGCCGACGAAGCGCTGGCTTGTCTGAACCAGGGCAGAGAAATCTTACGGCGGTTGGGTTTATTGGCGGAGTTGTCGGCCGGGGAGAGACGAGACACGGCTGCCACAGCGCTGGTAACAAATCGAGTTGACGGCGACGACGTTTTAGACGTCGGGGCAACGGCGGTTTCGCCGGCGGCACAGCTACCACCGGAGCTCGGTGCAGCCATCGACCAAAGCGGCTCGCCATCGACTGGCGGCGGAGACAGCAGCCGCCGCCGCCGTAGCCGACTTTACGCGTGGACCAGGTACGGTAGAGTGTTTGGTGGCGCTAGCGGGGAAAAAACCACCCCGTACGACCTATCATCCCAGCGGAGCGGATTATCCTTATCTCAAAAACCGTTCGCCGCCACTACTGACCCCACCCGATTCACCCACCCCGTCATCCTCCAATGCGGTGACGAAAAAAAAAAAAACAATTTTTTGAAAAGTAGACACATTAGCAAACTTTTATTTTTTTCGCACCAAATGTCCATCATCCGCCGACACGTGACGGATGGACATTTTGGCGGGTATTGTGTACAACTAGAAATGATAACGACGTTCTACGTACGCACTATCAGCAACGTATTTCCTACGCCACCGTAACGCCGAGTACCGCGTGGACATTCGTGCGGTAAATAATGTGATATCGATCGGTCATCACCCGCAGGTCCAGTACAATATTACCCGCCGGCATAATGATACAAATATTTTATGACGACACTACTAACGTGCATTGTTTTCGAAGAAATGATATGGCGTTCAACAGCCTGGCCAATTCAGTGATAAAAAAACCCATAAAACGTGATTGCTGTTTATTTTTTCATCGTTAAACGAACCGCAGAATAATAATTGTTTAGAGTGAGAAGTTTACCACGTTTTTTTTTTTTTAAGTGTTATCCCACGTCTTTAACTGAATTACCGTCTGAACTGTACAGTATACACAGAGGAACCGGTTTATTGTAAACCGTTGAATTTAACTTTATGCCACTTGAATATATTTCTATTTAAAACAAATTCAGTTGACATCCCTACGAGTCGATGACGCTAAAAAGTTATAAAGGTAATACTAACTGATAAGTTAAAAAATAAATAAAGACTTTATATTTATTTTACGAGTGGTTATGATAAACGGATTACACTGTACAATTATTTTTCCGTGAAAACATTTGTGCCAAGTATTGGGTCAAAATAAATATTCAATAAAACGTTTTTCTTTTAATTGGCCTCCGTCAGTTCAATTAGCCGTCATTTATATTTAAATTTTACTGTTTAACTTATTATGATCAATAAAATTCCGAGTACTTTTCATAACTATTTCCGGCGTTAAGCAAACAAAAAACGACTCGCTAGTATGTATGATGGTACTATCCTAGGCAATCATTGACCGACCTTTTTTCTATGGACACTGCAAATTGAACATATGCCAATAAATGCTTTCATTTTAAAACTTTCCTATGCCAAACGTTCGTTACAATTATTATTATTTTGATAAAAGACAAATTTAATGATTAAAACCTTCAAATGTTTTAGTACACAGACAATGAAAATGTAAATTGTTTTTTTTTTTTAATACTCATATTGTTTGACCATGAATTTCGTTTACAAGGCTTTTGTCGTCATCTGGAGGGTACAAACTCTAATTTCTATCTCAATAATTTTTTTTAGACCAATACAATAAATGATTTGCCAAAACAAAATACGTCAAATGTGGATAAGACGCAATTTGCTAAAAAACAATATCCATGAGTCAATTTTGATCATATACACACTACTGGAACCACTTTAATTGTAATAGCAAACGTTGATATAATGATTAACAAACGATCGTCAATTAATTTCTGCAAGTTTGTTTATTTTAAAAATTGTATATATGTCTTTAATTTGATTGGATTTTTACGATTGGCAAAAAAAATCTTCGTGTAATAATCAAGAAAAATTACAAATGATAGAATACCGAGTCTAAAAACTGAGTGGGTTGGTGTTGTCGGTACTCATATTTATTAATAATCAAAGGAACAAAATAAAAAATTACCTCTTTTCCAAAAGTAATAATTATACAAAGGTTGGTCGACGCAAAATATACAAAAACATAACACTGTTGAAATATAAATTGGGTCACAAGCAATTATTAAAATAATTAATGACCTTTAATATAGGAGTTTTTTAACGAGTTGCTTAAAAATTGAATAATTAGTTTAATCAAATAATTGAATTATTAATAATTGATATAATTTTAAATGGAGTTTATTTAATACATCATAGAGATATCAAAATTAGTTGTATTAGTTCATTAGTTTTAATGAACGTATTAGAAAAAATTAAACAAAAAACGGAATTTGGACAAATAACAATAAAATAACATAATTTTTCATTTAACGACATTGAAAAATGTCACTACAAGTTGATTCAAAAAAGTTAGATTGACTTAAATACTTTTAAAACGGCACATTTTAATAGAATTTAATTTAGATTTAAAATAAAATTAATTACCGACAAACCTTAGGACTGCGTGTAAACATAGGCAATTAAATATTTTACATCATCAACATTTTCATCGCTTAATTTTTATGAATAAAATATTTTGTATTTCTTAACAAAACTTATAAACATTTTATTAGTGCTGTATATTGTTTACATACCGCCCAAATTGAACCATTTATCGATTCTTAATATGTGACATATCCAAATTAAGATTATACTATTTAAATGCGACATTTATTAAATAACCAGCAATAAAAATCGATTTTAAATATTGTACAGCTTAATAGTTACAAATTATGGTTTAATGAATTCTTATTATTACTTACTACTGGACATTTGAGAAAAATTGAAATGACAAAAAATGTTAACTCAATCATGAACTGATCATCATGAAATTAAAAATACTCACTTTGTCGGAATCTGTAGTGTTTCCAGAACCAAATGAGGCCAACGATCCACGATCCAAATTTTCTTCTTCTAAATCTCTAAAATTTTACATAAATTATAAATTATTTTCTATTAATAATAAAAAAATATTTAATATAAAAAAAATAATAATTACCGGCTAGATCTTTGGCTATCAGGTTTTAGTTTTGCCGGACTCTTAGGCATACACATCCGTAATGCAGAATTAAAGTATGTTTCTTGAATCACTTCTCTTAATTTTTTAACCCACGTTTGTTTGGCCTCTAAAGTAGATGCTTTCAAGACAATACGATAATCTGATATTGGTGCCCGTCCAGTCCACACAGCAAATTTACATTCATCTCCTTCAATATGCTCAGTAACACCAAGTTCAGAAGTCTAAAAAAATAAACAATAGTTTAAAATTTATTCATTCAATTTTTTAAACTGTTAATTTCAAATTTACCATTAGTTTATTTTTGTACAAATACTTCACTTTAGGATTGTTAGAATTATCTTTTACATGTTTTGCAAATACTAAATATAATTCAAATAAGAAACAATGGCGTTCACGACTCTTTCGTAAAAGATGATGTCTTGAATCAGAAACATATAATGTGTCTTGAACAACTACATCACCCAATTCATCAGTCGAAATATCACATCCTTCTAATAACGACAAATGCAGAGCATCATTAGCTTTCCTAGGTACGCTTAACATGACATCTAGACCATCTTTAATTTCTCCTTGTCCTTCTTTACAACATGATTGGAGATCTTTTAATAATAGTTGATACTTTGTAATTCTTTGTACTGGTTTAATTAAATAAGCAGCAATTGGATGATCAATGTTGTGTTTTTTTTGTAGTTCTTCAAAAACACCACCACAAGAACCAGAATGCTGTACTAGTATGGCATTAGATTCTGGTTTATTTTTGCAATATTTTACATACATATCAAATTTCTGAGCCCAAGTCACAAAACAATGACCAACATCTTCTGGCATTGTTTCATATTTTTCTAATTCTTTAAGGAATATATCTCGATGAAAGTTTCGTATGTCTTCAATATTTCCGAACAAAACATCAACTCGCCCATGCAAACCAATGGGTACATTTTGAAGAGCACGAATCTCATCCAAATATGCCTTTATACATACATCTAAGTCTTTAACATAAGCACGTTCTGTTTGAAGTAGTTCTGCCATAATAAATCTATAGAAAAAAAAAGAACTTTATATTATAGTCAACGTCATTATCTCCTCAGCCTCTATCCCAACTATTTTGGATTGGCTCTACCTTATATTGATTTGACAGGATTTTTACATCAACTATCAAACTGATGTAACCATAATATGGCTAAAAAGGAAGGTAAGGGCAAGGTGGGTATCACTATTAAAGTTCCTATTTGGTTACCCATCCAGCAACCAACACAACTGAACATCAGCACTAAGAGGTGATAAATGATCTATTGTGCAACACCACACCCCTAACTTGATTATAGCCATTATATATTTTGGAGTTTATTACTTACTCTTTACGTCTAGCTGATCGTCTTTTCTCTTCATTTAGCTCTTTTAAATCTTTTGTCGTTGTTTCATTTATTTTTTGTTCCAAATTTGGATCAGAATTTCTATCAATAGATAAATCTCGAGCATCTGCATGTTCTTGTATACCTAAACTTTTTTCTAGATCCAATCTAGAAAATCAAACAAAAATTAATTTTTGGAAAATATTTAGATTAGATAAAAAATATATTAGTAATATTAACCTATATTTGTCCATTCTGGAACTAAAATGTTTATAGGTATTATCTACAGCAGCAACCCATTGCTTTATGGCACTAGCATGAGCATGTCCTTTTTCTACTAGATTATCAGCTAGTTGTATAAGTAGTTTTACTTTTTCTCGGGTTTCTTTAGCTGAAGTTTTAAATTCGTTGTGTTCACAAAGAAGTTGGCGTGTTTCATCCTAAAATTTCTGTGTTATAATAAAGCACTTTAAATAATGACCTTTTTAACAAACCTGTGTAGCGCCAACAGTAGTATGAGTATTTAAATACTGTTCACCAGCATTATGTATCCATTCCATTGCTTGCTTAGCTGATTTATCAAACAATACAAATTGTTGACAATGATCCAGTCTTTTTTTTCTTTGTGACCAATGGTCTAGTACTTTGTTCTCTTGGCCAGAAAGCTTTTCTAAAATATTTTTAACCCGAGCTTCTGAAGCTTTATCCATAGATGCAATGGATTGGTTGGCACAGCTATAGTATTGTAAACTTCGGTTTGTGTATTTTAAAAATGTTTCTGCAGTACGTCGAGCTAATGTACAAGCTTTTAGAAATGCTTCTTTTTGTTCTTGATGTTTAGTACAAAGTTGAGCAAGTTTTTCAGCTTCTAATGTACCACCTCCACACCAATCTTCTTCACGGCGGTATTCTCTATCAAGACTGTCCATTACTGAACAAACCTAAACATATCAAAGTTTGATGAGGTGTTTTATTAATTATTAAATGTGATTAATACCTGTTCAGCAGTTTTATAAAAGTTAAGACTTGCAGTAACTAATTTGTGTCTTTCTTCAGCACATGTAACTAGCTGTTGCCAGCGTTTAGTTACTTCAACAGCCAACTCTTTGACTGTAGCTGAATCACAATGATTAGATGACACTAGATTTTCAGCAAGTTGTTTTACTTGCACAGCCGCTGAATGAGTTTTCTACAGAAAATTAAAAAATCATTGAAAATATATAGAAATAAATTTGACTCAGAAAAATAATTATTTACTTCAATAGCAACTTGAAATTGTTCATGTTCTTTTTTAAGGAGTTCAGCGTCTCCTAGGCAATTAGGAATAGTAAAATTGGCAGATAACATTGATTCTCCATTTCTGATCCAACTTATAACCTTTTTAAAACAGATAATTTTATAAATTAACTTTATATTAGCAAAATTAATTAAATTTTATTTACTTGTGAGGCATCATTATTAAACTGACAGAGTTGAACGGCTTGATCTAAACGGTTACGCTTAATTTCAGATAATTCTACCAAATCCATGTGACGTTCGTGCAAAAACTCAAGAAGCACTTGAACTCTGGTTTGAGCTGTATACTGGCTGTCCGCCATTACACCAACCCCAGACTTATCCAAAACCTTGGGAAATTAAGAAAATATTAAATAAAAATATAGTTTATTTAAAGTAAATACAACACATACTTGAGCCAATTGTTCACCCTGCTCCAAGGCTTGATAAACCGCTGATTGCATTTGGGTAACAGATTCATTATGACGAGATAATCGTGACTCAGCTTCAGATAATGTTGAGATTACCTCGTTCTGGTTTCGTTCCAACTCATTAGCCCACAATTCCAATTGTGATGATACCTAAACAACAACAACAATAACATTAAATAAAAAAAATNACCTCGTTCTGGTTTCGTTCCAACTCATTAGCCCACAATTCCAATTGTGATGATACCTAAACAACAACAACAATAACATTAAAAAAAAAAAATAATAGACCTACTTCCAAAAGGTAGCAAAATACTATTGATGACTAAATAATAATGAACAACATGCTTATCAACTATTTTTAAAGAGATAATGGAACACAATTAATTAAAAAAATAACGGGAAATCCGCGGATAAACTTTTCATTGTCAGTTAGCTGACATTGGCACTATATAGATATGCCCGACTGTACGTCCCAGTAATAGTACTAAAAATAGAATTTGCTTAAAACCATTACAAATTAAAATAAATTGATATGTTTTAGGCGTCTGATCATAGAAAGAAAATGGTACAAAATATTTTTTCTTTTTTTTATTAAGAAGCACACCGTTCATACATTTAAAAATCGAGTATAAAAAATAGTTAAGTACAGTAGGGAAAATGGAAATAAAGCATTTTTTAATAAAGATTATTATTATTTAATATTGATTAATATCTGACTACAATTATTATCATTGTACATTTTTATATTATACATCTCCAGAAGTTACATTATTTTCAACTTTAAAAGCCAATTACTCTTAGAAGTTAAATTGTTGGAACATCTTTTTTTTTTTATATAAAGTATATCAAAAAACATTTAATTACATTTAGCTTTAAATTATTTATGTACCTATGAAAAATATTTCAAAATCGGTCATTTTTATGAAAAATTGTATATTTTTTATATAATATAATATAATAACCAAAAATAAAATTTCCTAGAAATAAAATATTTGGGTAATTATTTTTTTTGGCCAAATTATTTGGAACATGAAAAGTTGAAAAGAAAATCCCCTATTGCTTTGGATAATAATTAAATTTTCCAAAAAAAATATATTGTAGGTAAGGTAAATAACTAAAGTATTGTCAATTGAAATTTTGTTTTGATCTGTCAGTGTTAAATATATTATTTCAATACAAAGTCAAAAAAAATTAAAATATTAACTTTCATTGTTTTATAACAATTATAATATTTTAAGACAAATTTTTATTAAGGTGACTCAAGAAAAATTTTCAAAACTACATTCAACGCTTTAGACCGAAATAAATACGATTTATGATTTGTTGATACATTATACAGTAAAATTGGTCAAGTAGAATTTTTTCCTTTCTCATAAATGACATAATAAAAAGACACGACAGAATAAGACCACCAATAGCTTACCAACTATGCATCAAAGCTATAAGTTCATAGAAAAAATTTTAAGAAAATATAAAAGCAAGTATAACTACGAAATAATAATAGATTGTTTATACTAATTAAAAATGATTTATCTAAAAAAATATATTATAATATCGTTTAGCAAAAAAAGTTAAGCTCTGTAAATTTACACTATTTTTTCATTATACTATTACACAACTTCGTAAGCATACCTATTAAACTAAGCTCAATACAAATGCTACATGTTATAAAAAAAAAAAATAATAATAATAATAACAATAAAGGTCATGAATATTTACGTATACTCACTTCAAGTGCATCTCGTTCGAAAATCCGCAACCTTAAGCACAAGTCTAATTTTAATTTTCTAGTTGCCCACAGCTGTTCCAATTCTAAACGTTGCTTGTTCAACCTTTCAAGTGCAGCATCCACTGCAGCTACAGATCCGGTGGGGTCCATTTCTGCCGTAAGACCTCCACTTCTAATGAAATAAAATATTTAATATTAATATAACCGATATTATCATGCGGTTATGAATAATTACCAACTTGCGTTCTAAGGAAAGGCCAGTAATAATTGTACGACTATGTTTCGACCAAAATATTTTAGATTTGAGCATAGTCGAATTTTTTTTTGATAATGATTTATATTTTTTATACATATAGACTAAAAAAATAAAAATAAAAACTGGGAAAGAAAAAAATTGTTATGAGTACTATTTAAAAATCAAGAATGAGTTAATATCCAGAAGTTCAGTGTCGAAAACGCAAAACTAAAAGAATGATAGATAAAAAAAGAATGGACAGTTAAGAGACACATTTTTTTTACGTACATATTTACACAAACAAAACAATATAATTTTGTATTTTTACATTTTTTCATTATCAGTAATAGCAGCAGAGAAAAAATCGTAACTAGTTGTTAGTGTACGATTTTGTACGAGATTGCTGTCTATGCACACCTATTGTTTATTATCTAAGTCGTAGTGGAAACGATAAATATTTTTATTCTCATGTAGATTAGGTGTACCTTAATTCTTGCAAAAGTGCCTCTCCTTCACTTATTGTCGAGTGACACGCATCTAAACAGGAGTCTCGTTGATGGCTGACTTGTTCCAATGCTCGTTCGGTGCCTTCTAGAGTATCAGCAGCTTCGTCACACCCATCGGTTTCAGCCCTAAGCTCGTCGAGCCAACCTTGTAGCTATATAAGGACAATCATTATCGTAATAGTCATACACAGAAGAAGAAGAAGACAAGGAAACAAACGACAATTATTCAACTTACCTCAGATTGATGGGTATAGAAATTTACAGCCCTCTGTAAACGTCGACGTCTGGCTTGGACCCGAGCGGCGAAAGCAGCAACATGACTTTCGAGTTCAGCGGCAACCGAACAAATATCAGTCGCGTCGCATTCTCCGGTCTGTGACAGTTCTTCAGCAGCCGTCAACAGTTTTTCAGCGTTTGTATATGTGTTCTAAAAAAAAAAAAAAAACAAACAAATTTTAAGTTATTAAACTTATAAAATGTAATCAAAAAGAACAATCTGTTAAACTTTAAACATTTATAATATACACGACTATTAATATTTGCAACAACATTAGTGTTCAAATCTTTAAATATTTAAAGATATGTTTAAATATTTATTCAATTAAAGGAAATTCTATAATTAATATTCTAATTATAAAAATGTTTATAAAAGAATCTTGTATTATATTTACTTTAGACATATTTTTAAATGGACGCATTTCTCATTGAAAATATAATATTGGATAATAAACAACGATATTAACTACTTCTTCGACCTATGCATTGATACTAAATACATAGATGTCTGTAATAACAATTCACTATCGGTTATATTTAACTGTATATTAAGTGTATAATTACTATATCGTCTAGAAATATTAACAAGACCATATGTAAATAAATATGTATTGTGTTTAGCTTAGCTAAAGTATATGCAACAAAAGATGTTCGTTATGGACACAAAATTAAGGTGTAGCCAACGTGTTAAGGTCAAAACTAAGATAAATGGTAGCAAACTTTTAAGTTGTATAATAGTGTAATTGTCAAAGAATACACACGTCGACAAAGAAGACCAATTGCTAATTTCTCATAGTATTGTTTATTTTTCGAGGCCTCTCTTAAATAAACAAAAAAACGCAATTTTACAAAAAAACATTAATTTGAAACATTATCTATAAACAGATATTATTTAGTTTTCTATTATACAATAAGAAAAAAATTAAGATTAGTATGAAAAATAAGTTTTTCTACTGAAATAGATACATTAAAACTCTCAAATACTGTTATCATTGCCAGAAAAACATCATCCAAGATACCTAATTAGTTAATTATTTCGATTAAAAATTTTCCATATTCACTACATTTTAGTTCAATTGAATGAAAAAGTTAAACTAGAAAACTTTATGGCATAACTTACTTAATTACGCAGTTGTTAAGCCGACCTATTCTTTCTTATATTATGTGGTAAGGTGATTTTATTATTTACGACAAAGTGTATTATATTTAATACAACTAAGAAGTTTAATTTCTTTTGAAACTACTTTATAATTATCTAGATCTTCAATAACACTTGAATTCAAATTTAAGAACATTGTAATTATAATTGTATTATTTGGCGATTGTAAATTATGGGAACGGAAAATATATATATATATAAGTTTTGATTTTTTAGTTGTGATGTAAAAATTACTTCTTGAACAATAGTAATAAGATGAATTTGCATAGACCATATTACAGTAATTCATAGGCGAATCACATAAATAATGTGATATCATAAAATATGGAACGTAGAAAAATACATCAAGTACTTTAAATTTAACACTACATATATGAAAAAGTACTAATTAGAATACTATAAAAATAGATTTATAAACATATCCTACTTTCTAATATAGATGATTCAAAACGTACGAGTATATAAAATTTAAAGTCAGTTTTCGAGATTTTGTACTATTATTTTCAAACAATAAATTATACATATTATCAGATAAAATTGAATAATAACTTGTAATAAGAAATCAGGAAAACTGTAAAACGTTGAAGAATAATTTTCTACAAAAAAATAATTATTGTGTTCTTATACTGCAGGCCTGTATTACTGAACAGAATATAAAATATTATATTATAATGTTAGGCTTATTTTTTTATAGTGAAATTTATTAACACTATTAAATCTAAAAATCAAATAGGCGTATCGATGCTTACCAGATTTTCAATATCATAAATTTAATTTTGAATATCCCTACTATTACAAATTTCCTTTAATTTGAACACATATATGAAGCCAAAAGTGTTTTACCAATGTGACATACACGTAAAGATTAGATTAATCAGTATTTGGTTACAACCATATCATCGTTCAAGTACACACACCATAGAAGTCACTTTTTACTCTTACATGCGCTTACTAACAATCTGCTAAATATGGGCTTCGGCCTGCGGCGAGGTTATTTTCATTAGCTTTCTCTAAATTTATGCTAGCAAATAATAAAATAAAAATCATTTCGAGACGAGCACAGTTCATAAAAAACTATAGCGTAGATACTCGAGACAAGTTAACAGTAGCCGCATAAATAAAAAACATTCAAACTTGACTTGGTGAAGTTGTTTTTTAATTTTTTAGCAACTGAAACACAACAGCATCTGATCATGACGTTTACGCGAGCAGATATTTTTTTGTAGATATATAACATCTTAAGTACTCATCTATCGCAAGTAAACTAGCACTTGTAGTTTTACTACAAGTGCAGTTTTTTAACATAACGCAAACATTTCTCAGTATAGTTTTTTTTTTATAATTTCGCCATTCTTCTTCAGTTGAGGATATCAATTCGGTGCCTTATAATATTCGTTTTTAGAATACAATGCAACTATAAGTGGATAACCAAAATACCAATAATGACGTTGTTCAGTGGGTGTAGATTACTTTTCCTATTTAACTAAACAGCTGTACAGCAATTTAAACTCAGATAATTTTTGTTTACTAATTTCAAGATAAATAGAGTCATTTTAGTAAGTGTTAAAATAATTTTTATGATCATTTAGAAAGTTTCGACGATTAACTAAGATAGTAATTTAAGGTTTAATATTAATAAATTAAAGTACTAAGCTTATTAAAGAATTTTCTAAGGAGGATGTTTTCATTTAAATATTTTAAGCCTACACGTGGGGGTCTACGTCTCCCTTGGCTGGTTCTTGCCCAATTCTAAACTATTCAATAAGCATACAGAGTAAGGATAAACAAAAATTGCTTGTCATTTGGAACTTGGGGCTAAATCTATACTACGGTAAAACCAAATGGCCAATGTATTTTTTATTTTACAGACAATATGAAACATTGTTCTTCAGATATAATTATAATTAAAGCATAATATTTGTAGAATTATTCTTTTCAGTTTAATTAATCCAAGTTTATAATTTCAGTACTATTTGTACTACAATACTACTTGAACCGCCCTCTTCCAAAAATTTCACTAAGAGGTGCGAATCATTAAAACGATTTTACAATTTAATTCTGATTATTATCTCGATTGATTAAAAAAAGGATACAGCCACTAATAAAACTAATGTAATCCGTTTAATAAGATGTGGGGTGATGTAATTCAATTCAATTAAAAACATCAACAAAGACCAATCAATCGATTTAATACGATTGGCGATTGTAAGCTAAATACTATTATCTATTACTATTCATGTTGATGTGTAATAATACTATGATAACTACACGTGATGGAGGTGTTACTATTATATAGGCGCCAAACGCATATATGTTCTAAAATTATCTATTTTATTGTTTATTAGTAACCGTGTAAGCATTATAAATGAATTGATTAATCAATGTCCATTAGAATAGCACGAGAGATTGAATAAACATACACGAGCACGTTCGTAATTAGGTATAACATACAACTTCCACTGGCAGCAAAAAGATCAGAGTTGTAGAGAATAATTAGTCGAAGATAAAGATAGACCACATAATAATGTCATGAAAAATAAAATTAATCATTTAAAAACTCCAAAATTACATTTTATACTCTTTATAGGAAAAAAAATATATATTTTATAGAATATTTAGAACATCAACATATAAAGTATCAGAAAATATCAATAAAGTTTAAAATATTTAATTGTAAGAACATTACTATGAACGCAAATAAATGCTTTTAAAAATATATTATATAATAATTCAAATAACAGAATGGTGCAATTTGAAATTTCATACAAATTTAAAAATCCATAAATCATAATATTGTTTTAAAATTTTAGCGATAACTTTTATTAATTACGTTTTTTATACTCATTTTTCAAATAATTTTTTAAAAAATATTTGACTATCTGATACAACAAAACTATTTTATAAGACTATCAATGTATGGAACTAACTTTTTATTTTTACATTCTTGTATTACATCTATTACGAGTTGAACAAGCTTCAAGTCTAAGAAGTTTTTGAATTAATAGCGATTTACAACATTCTCAAATTCTAAACTCTAAATCTATTGAATTATTTAAATAATAAATTTATTTCTCTTATTGAAATGATTTAATGAGTTAAGCAAATTAAGAAAATAATTCTCCAATTCAATAAAATAAAAAAATTCATTTCCACAACTTAGAGCAACATAGTTCGGTGAATGACTCCAATACAAATGAAAATATATATGAACAAAACAGGTTAATTAATTAAAGCCATGTTTAAATTATGTGAAACTGCATTTTTTAAGTGTATCATTAAACTATAGTATCAAAAACGTGAACCTATACAACGTAAGTTTAACTATTAAACCTTCTTTAACAAATACAAAAACAATTAAAGCTTTAGGGTAAAAAACCTATCGATTATTTTGTGATTTTAGAGAATGAAACGTTCCTAAAGAAAGTCACTTTCATTTAATCTTTACAATTGAAATGAAAAACACAATTTAATAAGTCATAAATTTGCATAATAAACGAGCAAAACACTCTACCGTAGTGAATTTAAGTCACCAACTTAAACCCCTTTGTGTTTTTAAAATTGCCAAATGTTAATGTATAGGCGAGATCAACTTTACGTCGAGTACTTACTTTTAGGTTTTTAGAAGTGTTTAATATTCAGGTATAGCAAATCGTTTTATTATTAATATTCTGTTGCCGATATTTCGGTGAAACGGACCGGACGATCAAAAGTTTCCTATTAGTAAATCAGCCCACAGCCTATTCGACAATTAAATTTTATGTGCACTACGCACACGCATTATACCGTTTAAAAGTAACGTGGTGAATCCATTTAACATTTTATTGCTATTTTCACACTTGGAGTACATGCATTCGATATAAAATATAAGACGGTCTCTGAACTATGATAGTTTTCCGAGTATTAGATTGATAATTATGAATTGGATGATGGCGGTCTGTAGAGTTATTACATAAAGAACAACAAAAATTGTCGGTACAAACTCACATAAAAGG